ATGTTTCTTTACTTTCAATGCACGTTTTTGGTCTTTAACTGTTTTTAGGGTTGGATTTGTCGTCTTAAATGATCAAGATGGCGTTTATCTCGTTGATCTTCCTTACTTTGGACTCTCGGATTGGACTTGATACCGATTTGTATTCGTAGATAGTTTTCTCACGACGTTTAATTATAAGTATAGTTATCAGTGGTCTTTTAGTAGTTTGATCCCCTGTCGTGGTTCGTTTGCCGATACAGTCAGATTTGTTCAAATTTTTTAGATGAGTTTTAACTTTTTCCTGGTCCTTGAATGATCTTGAGTAGTTAATTTATTGTATCAATGATTATAAGAAAATATTTTAATTATGTTTTTTTTCGAATTTCATTGTAACTTTAAATATTTTCTATTTTTAATAAAATTAACAACTCTATTTGCATTAAAAATAAATTTTACAAAAAAATACAAATACAATGTTAAAGTATTAAATTTCAAAACAATAAATTAAGTCTATGAAACATAAATCAATTATTGTTAATATCCTTTTACATAAATTCGCTCTTCAAATCTGACTCGTCATAAGAGTTCTGCAAGCTCTAAATATCTACATCTCATAAAGAATCAAATGTATCTCTACCAACATCCGTCTTGATATTCTCATCCTCGTATATTTTTAAAATTTTCCTTGGTCCAGTTTTTTTATTCTTTTAACTTTACCATATCAGTTTATTAACTGTTTATGGTAAATTCATTATTCATGCAATATTCCCTTTTTGTATTTTTTAGATAATATAAAAAGGAAAAAGAAAAACGAGAAATATAAGAAGAAAATAAATAGGGAGAAGACACACCCAATTTGTCGGAGTTTCAAATTTTATTTCAGGCCTCATTGGTTAGTATCGTCTCTTGAATCGCATTATTGTTTTTCTAATATATGTTTTTCTAATTTTGTTGAATTTTTAATTAAATTTGTAACAAAAAAATTAAAATATTTGTAAAAAAAATTGTAAACGAAAAATAATCAAAATGATATCAATATAAAATAAGACATGTATAAGAAAAAAGATTTAATGTGGTTTCTGTTTTATCTACCTCTACTGATGTTAGAACAATAATTCACTAAGATACAAAACTGACAGAAACATAAGAACTGAAGGATATTTTCTACACTAACAGTGAAAAATAGAGGATACTCAGAAAACAATGGATAAACTTTCTGCATTTTATTGATAAATCACCAGCCTATAAATAGACAAGTACATAACTAAAAGCAACATGAAAATAGTCACTATCCAACGTGCATAAACAAACTCCTATTAACTAGGAAACAAATTTAAACAAACTACTGAACTCCTAAAGACTAGGACAACCCAAATTCTTTCTTACGTGTGCTGCTACTAATTTATTTAACAATCCCTCTCTTAAACTGATGTTATGTGGTACATAACAGAAAGCAACATGAAAATAGGCACTATCCAACGTGCATCAACAAACTCCTATTAACTAGGAAACAAATTAAAACAAACTACTGAACTCCTAAAGACTAGGAACACTCAAATCCTTTCTTACGTGTACTGCTACTAATTTATTTAACAATCCCTCTCTTAAACTGATGTTCCACACTTAACATCAGTTTACACTTAACATCAGTTTAATGAGACCCAAACTTTGAAGTGGCATCCCTCAAATAAAGTCCTTTGAACTACAAACTCCAAGTAGCTTCCTGAGCTTTTGAAATGCTGGAAATTTGAGAGGTTTTGTTAAAATATCATCAATATGATCTTCACTTCTGCAGTAAACCAAATTAATAACTCCATCATTTGTGAGATCCCTTAAGAAATGATACTTCACATCTATATGTTTGCTTCGACCATGTAGAACAGGATTCTTTGAGAGCTTTATTGCTGAACTGTTGTCACAGTAAATAAGAGTAGGCCTATCTTCTTTGAACTATAGTTCTTGAATAATCTCTTCAGCCAAATAGCTTGACAAGCACAAGTTGTTGCTGCAACAAATTCAGCTTCAGTGGTTGACAATGTGACGATTGTTTGCTTATTTGATGACCATGAAACAACTCCTTCCCAACATGAAAACATATCCGGATGTGCTTTTTCGATCATCAGAATCTCCTGCATAATCATTATCTGTAAAGCCACACAATCTGATTTTTCTCCCTTTTTAAAGAATAGCCCAACTCCTTAGTACCTTGCAAGTACCTAAGAATTCTTTTTGCAGCCAAAAGATGAATCTCTGTTGGACACTCCATGTATCTACTAATGACACTTACAACATGCATTATATCAGGCCTTGTTGCAGTCAAATACATTAAGCTCCCTATATCTGCTTGTAAAGTTTGTTAACCTTGTTTCCTCCCTCATCCTTATTTAGCTTCAAACCAAACTCATGGTGTATTCACAGGATTACAATCCTTCATCTGAAACTTGTCCAAGATTTCTCCCACATACTTCTTTGAGAAATAAAAATGCCAGCAATGATTGCAACACTTCTATGCCAAGAAATAATGCATCATGCCAAGATCATACATTTCAAATTCAGCCATCATGGATTTCTAAAGCTTTCAAACATGGTTGTATTACTTCCAGTATAGATTAGATCATCCATATATAAGCAAACAATGAGCATATTTCCTCCATCTTCAATTTTTTATAAAAAGTGTATATTCATTAAGACATTTTTGAAATCTTTCCTTCAAAAAATAAGTTTATATACGATTATACCAAGCCCGTGGAGCTTGTTTTAATCCATATAGAGCTTTTTTTAACTTATACTTTATGCTCAATGTCAAGTTTTTCATAACCAGGAGGTTGATCGATAATACCTCTTCTTCAAATCTCCATGGAGGAATGTTGATTTCACGTCCAACTGGAATATAAGCCATGAGTTTTGAGCTGTCATAGCAATCACCAACTTGATTGTATCATGCCTTGCAACTGGAGCAAAAACTTCTTTATATAAACACCAAACTCACTTGTAACCCTTAGCTACCAAGCATGCCTTGTGCTTGTCAATCTCACCATTTTCCTTCAAATTTGTCTTGTATACCCACTTTACGCCAATAGTCTTCTGCCCATTTGGAAGATCACATAGCTCCCATGTATCATTTTTTTTCAATGGCTGTAATTTCAGCATCCATAACCTTTCTCCATTTTGGTTCTGTGACAACCACTTCAAAACTAGTAGGATCACAATCTGAAAATAGAGAAAAGTGGGTGTGTGGGTCTTCAGATTGATCAATTCCAGCTACCTCATAATCATGCATCCATGCTGGTCTTCTTCGAACACGTTGAGACCTTTGTGATTCAGCTGCAAGTGGGCTTTGATCAGCTATTGGAATTTTGAGTGACTTCCTCTTCTTGCTCTCCATAGGGTTGATGCCCTTTTTCTTCATCATCAAAATCTGCTGGAATACTTTCTTTAACACCATTATGATTCCATGACCAAGTGACTTCTTCATCAAACCACATCACGGCTAATGACAATTTTCATGGTGCTAGGATTGTATAGTTTATAAGCTTTTGACTTATCACTAACACCAAGAAAAATGTGTTTTTCTCCCTTGTTATCTAGTTTCTTCCTCTTATCATCTGGAATATGGGCATAGGCAATACACCCAAAAATCAAGAAATGATCTACAACAGGTTTCCTTCCGCTCCATGCTTCCTCTGGTGTCATATTTTGAACAACAAATGTAGGACTTCTGTTCAATATATGAATGCTCCAATTCACTACTTGAGGCTAGAAACTTTTTGGAATGCCACTTGTTGTCAAAAGGCTTCGCACCATATTCATAATAGTGCGGTTCTTCCTCTCGCATACACCATTCTGTTGGGGTGTATAAGCTGCTGTAAGTTGTCTCTTGATTCCATGGTTCACAAAAATTTGCAAATTCATGTGAGTTATATTCTCCACCACGATATGTACGAAACTTTTATTGGGCAGCCAACTTCTTTCTCAACAAGTGCTTTATAGCTTTTAAAAGCTACAAAGGCTTCAGATTTTTCTTGCAAAAAAAACCTATATCTTACGACTATAATCATCAATGAAAGTAATTATATATCTTTTACCTCCATTAGAATGTGGTGTTATTGGCCCACAAATTTTGGAATGAACAAGCTCCAATGCTTTCTTCGCTCTCCAAGATTTTTCTTGTGGGAATTGATTACGGTGTTGTTTGCTAACAACACATTCTTCACAAACTTGAGAGGATACTGTAATTTGAGGAAGCCCCGTCACCATGTTCTTTTGTTGTAGTGTTTTCAATCCGCCAAAATTCAGATGCCCGTAGCGAAAGTGCCATAGCCACACCTCATCTTTTAAGTTTTGCTGAGAAGCATGTATGAGATGTATTGTGGAGATATAGTGGAAACAAACGATTCACCGTCATGTTAACTTGAGCAATTAAGCCCAACTTTGCATCTTGAATCTGACATACTCCATCTTTGATAAAAATTTCGTATCATTTTTCTTGTAACTGACCCACACTAAGCAAGTTGGTCTTTAAATCTGACACAAAATAAACATTAGCTATAGTGTGAGTGGAATTTCCTTTGGTTTGGATTGTTACTTTTCCTTTTCCCATAACATAAATTCTAGAGTTGTCACCAAACTTAACAGAGCTGCGAAAGGATTCATCCAAGTCAGAAAATGCCTCCTTCTCTCCACACATGTGATTGCTGCAGTCGGTGTCTAAAAACAACATTTTTTTGTTGAGTTTTGTCTTTCACGTGACACACCATCTAAAGAGACACCTCTTTTTCCTTTCCTGCAAAGTTAGTTTGATTTCCACTTTGTTTATTCAAATCAGTTTGGCATTCTGATTTATAATGGCCATACCTATGACATCTGAAACATTCAACATTGGACTTGTCTGCTGACTTTGATCGATAAGTTGTTGAGTGGTGGCCTCCACGTCCTCTGCCTCTTCCTTGAAATTTACTCTCTTGATGATGATGACTTTGTTGTTGGTTCCCACGTTCATTATTGTTTCTGCCTCCTATTCCTCAACCTCTACATATACCCCTTCCTCTTGAGTTTGAGAAATGAGTAAAGGTGGAAGCCTTTAAAGCTTGCTCCTCTGAAGTTGAACTTCGGTTCATCTTCTGTTCATGGACCAACAAGGAGCTATGCAATTCATCAAGAGAAAATGTATCTATGTCTTTCGATTCTTTAATGGAACATACGACATAATCAAACTTTGGTGTCAGGGAACACAATATCTTTTCAACAATGGTGACATCTTCAATCTTCTCACCATGAAAGCGCATTTTGTTGCTAATCTCCATAGTCCTGGCACAATAGCTGGTGACAGATTCACCATCCTTCATTTGTAGAGTCTCAAAATCTCTTCTCAGAGCTTGAAGCTGTGCACTCTTCACTCTAGTGGAGCCCTCATATTTTTTCTTCATGGAATCTCAAATATCTTTGGAAGTTTCTTTGCTAAGAATTGTTTCCAAGATGGGACAATCAATTTCCTGGAAAAGGTAATTTTTTGGGCATCTGTCAAGACTGCATTAGGTGTTGGTGCTTGAATTCCAGATTCAATAATCGACCAATACTCTTTGGACCGTAGAAAATTCTCCATTAGCATACTCCAATGGTCATAGAGACCATCAAAACGTGGGATCGCCGTCTGCACAAAATTTGAGTATGAAGCCATCAATGTTGTTTGGAAACTCTTTCTCTCTTGGTTTTCTCACGGCTCTTATGCCACTGACAGAAATAGAAGAACTGAAGGATGTTTTCTGCACTAACAGTGAAAAATAGAGGATACTCAGAAAACAGTGAATAAACTTTCTGCATTTTATTGATAAATCACCAGCCTATAAATAGGCAAGTAAATAACTGAAAGTAACATGAAAATAGGCATTATCCAACGTGCATCAACAAACTCCTATTAACTAGGAAACAAATTAAAACAAACAATTGAACTCCTAAAGACTAGGACAACCCAAATACTTTCTTACGTGTCCTGCTACTAATTTATTTAACAAGAACTAAGAATACAAATATATGCTATCTCATGTATCGCAAAACTCAATATATATACCAAAACTCTACGTATCTCATAACATTCTCCCAACATCTCTACAATGTTCATCTCTGTAACGTATATCCTAAAAATTACATAGACTTAGAAAAGGATTATGGTTCTCCAACAATATTTTTCGATCATAATTTTAAAGGTTGGACGTATCCTATACGTATAGAACTCCATTAAATACACTTAATCAACAAATAATATTTAATCAATATAATCGTAATAAAAAGTAACATAATTTTTAACTAAAATTTAAACTAATATCTAACAGAACTGTTGATCTTCATATGACCTGCTAGAAATATCAAAATATCCGTTGAAATACATTTAAAAGTTAGAATGACGTGTGGCAATATACATTTACACATTTTTAAAAATTTTGTATTAAAGATAAATAATGGAACTCTTACTTTATACGAAACATTATAATATTTAAGACATCATCAACCTAATGCGAAAAGCTTTGTAAGATATATTCAAACAATGGCTTAGCACACTTCATCTAAATAAAATAATATTCATCATTTTATTTATTTTTGTTGTTTTTCAAAATGTATAAAGTTGCAAATATACCCATTGGCACTTTGAACGATGGGTCTTACTGTAATAACAATAACAATGGTATTCAATGACTAGTGAAATCAATTATTAGAATATTCAATAAGCATATATATATATATATATATATGTTTATATGAAATTAAAATCTAGAAAGTGACCTCGAACCTTTTCTCATGCAATTTTTCTTTTATGAAAAATCTTCATTTTTAAAGAATATTAATTAAGTAGTTTTTATTTTCCATTTCTGCGTAGGACTAGTACGTATTATGATTTTCTATATAAAATTTAAAAGTTTTAATCTTATCATTTACGTATCTTGCAAGTTTTAATTTTTTTCTTTAATATTTTATAATTAAATAATATAAAAAATATAATGTAAATTTGTAAAAGATTTCTTCAATGATGATGCATCTTGCAGTAACCATAGAATTTTTAAAATGTCAAATATTTTCACAACTCGACATTCATCCAAGGTCCATGCATAACATAAATATTCATAAATGACCTTAAAAATTTGACACAATAATCGTACAAGAATCAACGCTCTTCAAAAATTCTAATATCGATTCCATGTATAGTTTTTAATCATGCCTCCAAACCTCGCTGAATTATTAAGATAATTTGAATAAATTACATTACTTAAAATCATTAAATTAATTGACTAATATAATATTTGATTACATATTTTATAAATATTATTTGAATCATACTTTAAATTTTAAAATTCAAAATAATAATAATTAAATTCAAGGTAAAGCGTACAAATAATCATCTATTATAGGGTAGTACTTTATTGAGTCACTCTACTATAAAAATTATAAAATCATCATCTAAATGTTCATATGTTCCAAACTTGTCATTTTTCGTTAAAAATTTGACGACTGTCTGAGTTAGACGTTAATCTATTGGCTAAGATATGATAAAATCTGATTCAGAACCGTTTGAGTTGTATTTAATGGATCAAATCTCCATTTACATTATATAGTCGAGCCTGTGCTTGAAACGTTATGCTATCGAGCCAATGCTTGAAAGTAATAACAATGTCAATAAACATCATAAAAATATCATTTTATCATATCACAATCAGTAGATTAATGTTCAACTCATATGACCGTCAAATTTTTAAATAAAAAAATGAGTTAGAACATGTAAACAATAAAGTGTCTATTTTATAATTTTTAATAATTGAAAACTCAACAAAATAATATCATATAATTAAAAACTATTATAACTTTTAATAATTTAAGAATTTAATAAAATAACACCTTATATTCAAAGAACATTTGTATACTTTACTTATAATTTTATAACTATAATAAAAGTACCTCCCCAGTAGAAGAACCTACATTCATCCCTAAATATATAAAAACTCTAACATAACAAAAGAGTACAGAGAGACAGACCTGTCATAACAAGAATAAAATCAGAGGAGCCGGTTTTCACGTTGGATCACGCCGGACACCGCATTACAACAACACCCTCTGGTTTGGACACGCGTCTCTGCCCCAGGAACAGGCTGTCATTTGATCACAACAATTATTCAGTTTTTGATTGATGGAAAAAATCTTGTTTATGGAAATCCTTAAGATTCCTCGTTGACATTATCGTCACCATTGCAAAATAGCCGGCCGAAGATGAAAAATAAAGATTGAAATAATTGGACCCACCAAACCCCATTACACAAGTGGTTTCCTTGCATCTCAAAGCAACACAAAGCTGTTGCTTGGTTTTTCTTTGCTGTCCTTTTCGATGCTATTGATTTTTATTTTTATTTTGGGGTAAAACTATTTGTTTTGATTTTTAAAATAAAAAAAATGTTTTTTAAAATAGCATCATCGACAATATATCGTGCCATTCGGATAATCCAAAACCAGGGGGAACTTGGATCTCACATTCTTTTAAGCATTCAACCTCAAAAGATGGCACCAACAAAACATATACACTCACTTTTAAAATATGTTATTTTGATATTAAAATTATGAAAAGGAAAATTACAAAGAAGCACACAATATATAAAAATTTGATACTTACAAATAAATAAATATGTATTTGTGATAGCGTAACATGTTAATGTTCTTGTTGTGTGGGGACCAAGGATACGAAAGACTTGGTCTTTTTGGAGTTACAGAGGTTGCGGTTATATGTATATATGATTATTGGTATTGAAATTTAACGTGAATACACTTATCAATAAATTTTAATGGTAAATATATATATATTATATGTTTTAAAAAATTCTAAGTTCATATTATTATTTTTGTAAGATATATATTATAATTAAATTAAAAAAATTTTAAACAATAATCACTTAAAAAACAGTGTGAGTGACGTCACGTGTCGGACATTCTAATAATGTTTCCCTCGAGTCAAAGTCTCAACTCAACTCGGTGGTTGGGCTTTGGCATGGCAGGAGCAACATGTGACACAAGTATCGGTGGTTGGGTAGTTGGCCCAGTACCTTCAATTTCATTCATTGTTTCCATTGTGCTTTTTGTCATCTTTGCTTCTTCTTTCATTAGCAGCCCAAAATAATTTAGTTCTCTGTCCAATTCTGCTATTAATCCCTGTAATACGTATACGTTATAGATTTAATTATGAATAATTATTTTATGTATTGGAGGTAAAAGAATTCTCATGTTATGAATATTATTTATATATTCTAAATTTAAATTTTAAATCTTAACTTTCTTTGTTTGACAAATAAATCTTAAATAAGACACGTGATAATATTAGAATTCTAATTATTATTTACTAAACTTTTTTAATTTGTTAATAATATTTCTTAACAACTGACAACACCCCCACATACGCAGTTGCTCGAATGAAGGATCTCAAGGAAGAACAACATTGACTTTAACTACCGAGACCACTCAATGAGTTCTAGTTTCATTACAATTATTTATAGTATTATGGTACATATTGATTTCAATTTTTCGACTTTCTCTAAACATATAAGATATATATATTTCTTCATATTATGTTAACGCTTTAATGTTATTTAATATATCAAATACAATCTAAAACAATAAAATACTTTATAATATTATATTTCAAACAAAATATTTTGAGGGTAAAATATTGATGAGAATATAAAAAAGTCAAGAAATTGATGGGAAGAAATAATTTATAAATAATTGCAATCAAAAGATCAAATTGAGTAAAATACAAAGTTAAATGATAAAATTAAAAAAGATATGACATATTTAGTAAAAACAAAATTGGAATTGAAGTTACATAGGTTTTCTACAATGGTATGAGTGTCACACCCCAATTATGGGGTAAATTAATTTTAAAAGAAAATTGTGAATGAGGATGATATAATAGGTAGAAGTGGACAAATTGTTGGGTTGGCATACCATAATTGAAAAAAAAAATTATTATTATACAAACTCAATCATGAAGACAAAAGTCTTTGGAGTCTGACAACCAAATAAAGTTGAAGACCTTGTATCATATACGTGTAGTTTTTTTTTTTGTGTGTTAATTATCTAAGGGTAAAGGGGCACGTAGAAGAGGAATAAGGAGAAAGCTGAAGATAGAGACATGAGAGAGAAAAAAAACAAAGTGAGCGGTATTGGGGATTGGTAACGCCAATTCAATTTTAATTTTGATGGAGAAAATTATGAATTTTTGCAGAACATGAGTTCTTCGAGACTGAGCAATTCGTTCGAAAAGAAAGCTGGTGCCAACTGGGGAGAGAATTCTGGTCCCGGTGGCCTCTAGAAATGGAGCCTGGCTGGAATCGGAGCTATCTGTTCGTTCAGTGTTGTTGCTGCTACTTTTTTCATCATCATCTTCGGAACTCAA